ACACACACACACACACACACACTTCTGAGGGCCTCTATCTTCTGGGCTTGTCTGACATTCTCTTCTTGGGAATTCTCTTGCCATGTTCCTTTTACTTAATTCTAAAGACAACTCTATTTCCCTGAACCCAGGCTCCACAGGCGTCCCTTCTGGGACTCAGAATTGCTGTCACCAGCTGTGAGGCCACGTCCTGTGACACCTGAAACACTGAGGAATATGTGAGACAGTCCTAGCCTAGATGACTGTCGAGGACACGCTCCACCAGGTTGGGTACTCTGCATCCCTCAGTGCAAAGGCTGCATGTTTAATGCACAGGAAGTGCCCTGTGTAGCTTACTCAGTCACACCAGGCTTGACCTTGGCTTGTTACTCCTGCACAGTTCCGCTGCCCAATGTATGCTGCGCCTTGCCGGTAGCCAGCATTCTTTTTCCATATTCAAGTTGCCATATTCCCTCCTTTCTTAACCACGTCAGATGGGGCAGCTTCTGTTAAGCTGCACTAGGGTTCAAGGGCTGCCTGTGCTGTGCTCCAGAGTGAAGCCCCCTTAGGAGACAACATACACATCCTGCAGGCTAAGAAGTCATGCTCAACCTAGGAAACTGTGCTAAAGGAGTCTCGAGAGAGGCATTGCAGAGCAGGGAGCACAGAGGGCTTCCTGGAGGAGGTGAGGCTTCTGAGCCTTGTTAAGAGTTGGCTTTTTATAACCTAGTTCAAAGTTCAAAGGGTCAAGAGAAAGCTTATTCGGGAGCAAGGTCATAGTCAGGTCATAACAGACATAATTAGGTGAAATATATTCATATTGCAGTAGTAAGGACCCCCCAACTCAATAGGATTGGACCCCTAAAGGGGAACAGGCACCAGGAGAGAGCACCACAGGAAGGTAAGGCAAAGATAGGCGATGCCTCTGCCAGCCAAGAAATGCCAGATGCTGATGGTGGGCAAGGGGCCCCTCTCCTTTAGCTGCAGAAGACTGAAAGGAAGGAGTGTTGTTGACCTTGTACTTCAAACCCCCAAACAAGCGACAAATGCCTGTTGCTTAAATGCCTAGTCTGTAATACTGTCCCAGAAGGACTAGCCAGGGATGCAGCTTAGACGCACAGCAGGGGACGCAGCTTAGACGCACAGCAGGGGGCTGATGTGGCACCCAGAAGGAAATCTTGCTGCTAGCTCAGCATCAGCATTCCCCATTCCCACCACAGTCAGCAAGCACGAGGACCCAGGTAACAACTCAGGCATCATGATGAGCATTTCTAATCCCAGCACTGGTATAAATGGAGATTGCTCGCTCGTTTCCCGACTGCTCAGACCCGAATAATCACACAGAAACTATATTAATTACAACACTTTGTCAATAGCTTAGGCATATTTCTAGCTAACTCTAACATCTTAAATTAACCTATTTCTATTAATCTGTGAATCACCATGAGGCTGTGGCCTACTGGTGAGGTTCTGGCTGGTGGCTGGCATCTTTTGGCAGCCACATGGCTTCTCTTTGACTCCACCTACTTTCTCTATCTCTGTTCGGATTTCCCACCTGGCTTTACTCTACAAAACCATTGTCTGAAAAAAAATTCTTTAATAACCAATGGTAATGAAACATATTCATAGCATACAGAGGGAAATCCCACATCACACTGGGAATGCAGAGACAGGCAGCTCCTTGGGGCTCACTAGCCAGTCAGCTTAGCTCAGTTGGTAAGCTCCAGGTCCCAGTGGGAGATGCTGTCTCCAAAACAAACAAACAAAAAACAAAGAACAACAGCAAAATGAAAGTCAATGGCTTCTGGGTTCCTGAAGAACAGCATCCAAGGCTGACTTTAGGCTTTCAAATGCTCCCATATATGTGTGCTTGCACTTACATGCACACATGGGTGAATGAACACACATGTACACACACACATACCCACGCTCACACACATATGAGTGTTGAAAGGCATGCAGCAAATAGACACAGAGGCCAGGGCAGAGAGGTGGGTAGCCATGGGTTCCTGTGTTGCAGAACAAGTTCAGTATCCATCTCTTTGCAGATGAGCCCACAACCAGGCAAAGAAGAAATTGAAGGGAAACCTTGGCTAGATCCCCACCAGCTTCCCTGGCCCAGGTACGTTCTATGCCAGCTGGCTGGGTTCTCCACTGTGTACCTGGCTGGGAGTCAGTAGGAAAACAGTGTGTGTTTGTCAGGCCCTGAACTGAAGGGCAGTAGATCAATGCAAAGCTAATAAATAAGGGAGAAATAGGATTTGTTGGTTCACAGAGGTTAGAGCTATGGAATCTAGGGTGAGCTTGGGCTCTTTTCCATGGCTCGGAGCAGCTGTAGAATAAGCCTGTGAAGAAAAGTACAGTTCTAGGTTGAATGGTGTGGCCCTGAGTTGAAGGGAGCCAGGGACTAGAGTGATGTATTTGAAAGCCAAGGAGTGCCTGAGCTTGCTCAGCACCATCAAAAGATGGAGGAGATGAAGACACCTTCCCCGTGTCCTCAGCAGGAGCCTGGCCTTGCCAACAGCTTTCAGGCTTCTATCTCCAGAATGGGATGGAAACAATGACATCATTTTCAACTCTGTGGCTCACGGTGCTCTAGGAAGAATTCATAATCTAGCGGTCAGGAGAGGCTGACCTAGAGGTCAGTCAGCTCTAGGGACTAGCCTTTCTGTGCTTCTGCCTACCTCTGCCCTGCAGAAAAGCCGCTCTTTCACACTTACCCACCTCCAGCATTATACCCGTGTGGCGTAGCAAGCACCCCTTGGGGATGAGGGAGGCAGACAGTCGGGTAGTGGAGCTTCCTATTTTGACCCTAGGAATCCACAGGCATACACAGACCCCAGAGCATTTTTCCCATTGCTAAGACTTCTTCCCGGAACAAGTCAGGGTTTTCTCCATACTTTATCGCATAGATACAAAAAATCAAAGCAAATGAAGTATTATATTGGTAAACATATGCACAATGAGTCTATGACCTTCCCATCTGATAGTCCTCCCTCTCTTAGAATCACTGGTTCATTGTACACCATTGATGGGTTCTATTTTTCTGTTTCTTTTTTTGGAGGGGTACTTATAAATAGGCATTCTCCTACCAGCTTCCCAGCCCACCCAACCAGACAAAACTATACTACATATCCTGAAACTTGCTTTTCAAAACTCCAATAATAAATCCAGACCATTGCCCTAGCTCATATGCAACACAAACTGGACTCACTGGGGAACGAAGAAGAAACACTGTCGCTGATACTTTCTTTGGACTGCCAACCAGCTCCCAAATAAAGACATGGAGAATTATTATTAATTATGAATGCGACCTTAGCTTATGCTTGTCCCGTTGGCTCTTATAACTTAATTTAATCTGTTTCTATTCATCTGTGTTTTGCCATGGGACTTTTTACCTTTCTTCCATTCTGCAAGCCATACTTTCCTGCTTCCTCCGTGCCTGACTGGCCGACCCCCCACATCTCCCTAGTGTCTCGGGCGCCGCCCGGCGGAGGGCCACCTCCTGCTTACTCTCCCTGCCCAGAAGTCCTGCCTATACCTTCTCCCTTGCTATTGACCATTCAACTTTTTATTAGACCCATCAGATGCCTTAGATAAACAAGGTAAAACAGCAACACATCTGTTGTAGAATATTAGTTTAAATTTTGTTACATTTGTTTTTGCTGTGGAATATTTGTTTAATGATGCAAAGATGTTATTTTTTATGTTGTATTTGTTTAACTCTATAAAGCTGTGTTACTTTGCCTGTCTAAAACACCTGATTGATCTATTAAAGAGCTGAATGGACAATAACTTAGGTAGAAGACAGAAGCAGGCAGGGCTGGCAGGCAGAGAGAATAAGAAGGAGAAGAGGAGGAGGATGCCAGGGGCCAGCCAGCCAGCCATGCATCCAGCCACTGGGTAGGAAGGAAAGAAAGATATGTAGAATAAAGAAAAGTAAAATCCCAGAGGCAAAAGGTAGAAAGGATAATTTAAGTTAGTAGAGCTGGCTAGAAACAAGCCAAGCTAAGGCCAGGCATTCATAAGTAAGAATAAAACGCCTTGTATTTATTTGAGAGCTGGGTGGTGGACCCCCAAATAGCAAAGAGTTAAAAAAAAAAAAAGAAAACAGCCAAACACATCTTTAAATAATTAAGCAAATGCAACACATCTTTACAGAGTTAAACAAATGCAGAATATCTTTGCATAGGTAAACAAATATTCCACAGCAAATAATCTCAACGTAGGGTAGGAAGCAACAGGAGGGTTGAGAGGGTTATAAGAAGGGGAATTGGGGGCACACATACATTCAAAATACACTGTATGAAATTCTCAAAAAATTACAAGAAGGCCCCCGATGTTTCTGAAAGGTAGGGTCTGGTACAGAAATGCCCAAACATGCATGAATCAGCCCAGAGGGAAGACATTGTCATCCATCCATCTATCTATCTATCTATCTATCTATCTATCTATCTATCTATCTATCTATCATCACCTGTCACTCACCAAGGAAAACCACTCACAGCCCTGAGAGACTGACAGGGAAGAAATAGCTCTGATGTGTAGTTTCTCAGACACCAACCAAAATACCCCGTGGTTACTGCTGGTCTGTTTTTAAATGCAGATGGCATCTCTGGTGGAAGGTTGGGAATGCAGGAACGAGGTGAGGTCATTGCACTGGGAAGTTGTGTGTGATGGAAAAGGTTATGGCCATAGGACATCACAGAAAGGCTGACAGCTACAGAGAGAAGGGAAGTCAACCAGCAGGCTCTCCACCCCTGCAACTTCACAAGTAGGCGCTCCGCGGCCCACACTCAACCACCAATAAGATTATAGTTTCTGGCCCTGGGTAGTTAAACTTTCTGGAAGATTCCTGAGCTTGTAGCAAGAAAGGGTGGTGATTGAAAGCAGCTTTGCTAGCTGACAAGCCCGGAAAGTCATATCCCTACCCGGTGATGCTCTTCACAGATCCTACATGAGTGACAGCCAGTTTTTTTTTAAACAAGGTTTATTTAAAAACAAAAACAAATCAGCTTATTTTCAGTGTGAGATGGGTTGCGTTTGGCCCTAATCCCCTGTGGTCAGCCAGCGTTCTTCCACTACACCAGCTGTCCAGGTCCCCACGGACCGCCTCAGTGAAGGTTACGTCCCCTGTCTAAAGACAAAAAGCAGAAACCCACTAACGCATTCAGCGCTGTGAAAATGTAATCCCAAATATAATTTCCACTCGTATGAGGAGAGTGAACTGGCTGAGTGTTCAACTCAACAAACAGTGTTTCCGAATTGAGGTCATCATTCCCTTAATGGCCCCATTGCTGCTCCTGCGGGGATTTACACCAGGTAGCAGGTCAAAGCGTGCTGCTGGGTTTTCCTTATTGGGCTTGTGGGTCCCTCCCGGTAAGTGAAACCGGCGGAGAAGGGTGTGCAATGTGTCCTATACATGCCAGCAAACCTCCCAGGACACCCAGGTATCCAGATCACCAGCACAGGGTTGCTAAAGATGGGCCCCTCTGAAGTCCAAACACCTTAGAAAAGCCTCTTCTATAGGGGTTCTTTTGCCAGAAGGGGGGCTAAATGATGGGGAGACTATGAGCCTATAAAGAGAACCCTAGATTCCCTCAGCAAGGAACTGGATCAGCAGAATTCTCCGGGGGCGGGAGTGGGGGGAGACAGCCAAAAACTGTCTGTAGAGAAAGACTAGACTAGATTGATTATAAGGAATTTATTTACGCGGTTACAGAGGTGAAGTCCCACAGTCTTCAGGTTGAGTGGCAAGTTCAAGGACCACAAAGTGGTATGGCAGCTTGAATAAGAAATGGCCCCCAAGGTCTTGGGCTTTTGAGCATTTGGTCCCTAGTTGGTGGTACTGTTTGGGGTTCAGCCTTGCTGGAGGAAGTGCGTCACTGGGGACAGACTCACTATTACATTTGAAGATGTCAGCTCTCAGCATCCAGTTCCTGGCTGCTATGCCTGCCTCTTGCCACCATGCTTCCTGCCATGATTGACTCTTATCCCTCTGGAACCCTGAGTCCAAACAAGCTCTTCCCTCTGTAAATTTTCCTTGATCGTGGTATTTAATCACAGTGAAAGGAAAGCAATGAGCACAAGAAGCACTTATACTCCAGGAAATTGCAGTCTTTTTGTTCTGTGCAATTGATAGGTAAGGTCCGCCCACAGTGAGGAAGGCCATCTGCTCTTCTCAGCTTCTCAATTTCCATAATTATCTCTCCACAAACACACCCAGGATAATGGCCGGCCAGGTATCTGGGCCACCCCGTGACCCAATCAAGTACCCCAGGCATCCAAAAAACAAGGGAAGTAAAGATGGCCTCCAGGTCCAAAAGGAGAGTGGGCAATGGTCTCTCTTTCAATACGGAGATCAAGTAGGGCTGTCCCTAGCTCTAAGGCCTCTCGAGACAAGGCCATGTTTTCTCTGTCCATCCCCACTGCTGACTTCAGTCTCAAAGCTTTCCTACTTAATGCTAAGTCTGGAACCTGATCAGTCAATCATAAGGGAAGAAGAGGGAATGAGAACTCAGAGAACTTCTCCACATCCCGTTCTAGATAACGCTACACACATATTATCTCATTTGACGGAGGTGGCAGGGCCTGCCTATCATTGGTCACAGTTATTCATAATAGGCACCACGGTCTCAGTAACTGTCCCTGTGCCTTGCGATTTTAATCAATTTAACTAGAATCTCCCTCAAGGACAGGAACCATTATTCTTCTCATGTCGTAGACAATCATGAGACATTCAGAAGTAGTGTTGTCTTGCCTGGGCCCCACAGCCACAAGAGTCAGAGCTAGGATTAGACCCAAGCAGCCCTTTTGGAGTTAACTATTCTATACCACTACCTCCACCACCACCTACTGTGAGGGATTCTTTCTGTGGGATCCCCTAGGTTCAGAGTTACAGACTGGGCAGCTTGGAGCCTGAGCCAGGTGGAATAGGCTTGCTTTGGCCCTGGAGTAACAGGGACCCTGTCTCTCACCTTGCTGCAGATGCCAGCACCCTAACAGACTCCATTCATCCCAGCCTCCTTCTAAGGCAGGCTTCAGGCTGTCCTTTTCCCTGAGGAAAGACTAAGCCTGCTGAGCCCTCCCGTCAAGAATGAGTGCTGCATTTCAATTCTGGATTTAATTCTGTGGGTTGATCCGGGAGCCACAAGGAGATGGATTAGCAGCGCTGACATTCAGAGCCTAGTCTTTGGAAAAAGCAACATTAATTATTACCCACGAAACCCAACCCCTGCCATAGGGTTTCTCCCTATGACTCAGGTGAGGCTTGCAAGCAATGACTACTTCAACCTCCACTTAGGGATACCTCGCTGAGCCTGGCAATCTCATGGGGAGGCAACAAAAGCAGAAGAAAATGCAGCAAGAAATATGAGGACCGAAGCATAGCTTCTTGGGACGGGAGGCCTAAGGCCCAAGCACCCAGTGAGTGCTTGCTGCATGCACAGTAGGCAGGCTATGAAAGCAGGGCTGTGTGAGCCATAGCCCCCCAGAGAAACAGAACCAATATGTGTATGGGAGACAGGAAGAAAGAGGAACTATGGGGGAGGAAAGCAGGGAGGGAGAAGAGAAGAAAGGGAGGGAGGGGATGAAGAAGGAGGAAGGAAGGGAAAGAGAGAGAATTATCTCATTATCTCACACAGTCAAGGAGGCTGAATAAAGCCCATGGCCAGGTGGCTGGAGCCTAGGGAGATCAGTGCTACCCCAGTCAGATACTAGAAGCCTACTGTCTTAGTTTGCTTTCAATTACTGTGATAAAGACCATGACCAAAAGCAGTTTGGGAAGGAGAGAATTTATTTGGCTCACACAACCTGATCACGGGATCAGTGAGAGAAGCCAATGAACTCAAGGAACCTGGCAGGAGCCTGGAGGCAGGAACCGAAACAGAGACCATGGAGGAATGCTACCTATGGGTTTGCTCCCCTTCCCTTGCTCAGTCTGCTTATTTATACCACCCAGAACCACCTACCTGGGAGAGGTACCACCCACAGTGACCTGGGCCTTCCCACATCAGTTATTAATCAAAAAAATATCCCCATAGGCCAATCTTATAGGGGCATTTTTTCAACAGAGGTTGCTTTTTTTCTCTGATAACTCTATCTTGTTTCAAGTTAACAAAAACCTCAACCACACCAACAGCTTCATACCAGGAGAGCCACAGAACAAAATCCAGAACACTGTCCCCAAATCCCAAGACCCAAAAAGAGGTGGGTCAGATCCAGTTACAGGAAAGACCAATGCCAAGCAACAGGTTTGCCCCTTGTTTCTAAGAGTGCCAACCTTTGAGATCCACTCAGTCCTGCAAGGTGCCGGAACAGGCCAAATGGCATGAAAAAAAGCCATCTGCTTTACTCTGATTGAAGTATTAATCTTGACAAAACATGCTCAGAGAAAAAGCCCAGAATGGTGTTTGACCACATATCTGGGCATCTAGTGGCCTAGTCAAGTTGATACATAAAGTCAGCCATCACAGGATTCAAGGTCGAGAACGAGGGCACAGCATGAAAGCACTCAGTTCTACGTTCTACGTTCCAGAAGACTCACGTGATAGCCAGACAAAAGCCTGAGGTTCACACAGGTGCCGGGGCAGGGAGAGCAGTGAGGAGCCACTGGGAAAGACTGAGGGTGGAGGCCAGGGTGAGGGCATGCACAAAGGACAGACAACCCGGGCTGTGAGTCATTGACTAATACACCCATCAGGACTTTAGAGACTGCAACCTTCTGTTCTCTGTGATGGTGAAGCTACTTTCCATGGTTTCGTCAGAACTATCTCCCCATAGGCTCATTACCACCATGATGTGAGAAGACGTGTGTTCCTGCTGCCATGAAGTCTGCTATACTTCCCCTCCGTGATGAGTAAAACTTTGTCCCAAATAAACCTTCTCTCCCTTAAGCTTCTTTATCAGGTAGTTTGTCAGAACAATTTTTAAAAGCCATGACTATATTACTTACACCGATGCTTCTTTGAGACAAACATTACAGACAACCTATTCATGAAATCTTTGGAATTCTTGCCAACTCATTCATGGGTAATTTTTCATTTTTTTTTCTGGCTTCTACTACTGTGTGTGGATTGTCACAGACACTTACAGGGCAATTCCCATCACACTAGTTTCTTGGAGTCTAACTTTTCTGTTACAGTCACAGCTGCCTGGAACTCTGGTCACACATCATTCCTGAAAACATGGTCTGGATATAGAGAACCCTGGTCCAGCAGCTGCCTGCCCTGCCACAGTGAAGCCACCTCCACTTCCATTGGCTATTCTGGAGTGACTGACAGGTATGTCTTCATTTTTACTGTCCATCCGCTCTAAGCCCTCATCCTCATGGCCTTCTCTGCCATGACCACCTCTTCCGAGCTGCTGGGGATAGTATTCTTGGCTGCTTTGCAGTCTCGCTGACTCACACTTTTTTGCCATCTGGTGAGAGATTTCACTCTTTTAATGAGACATTGGCAATATGTTCCCAGTGTCTGACAAGCCTGCCTGAGTCACGGGGACCAAGGGGCACAGGAGGTGTTGGAAAAGAGAAATTTAAAGTAAAGGGTTCTCTTTATGCAACCTCAAGAGTCCACTGAGGAACTCTAGGATGATCTGGAGAGAGAAGAGAAGCTGGGAGAACAGGTATGCTTTAAATATCTGCATTTTATACTCTTAAGTACCCAATGGCAGAAATTAAGGGCAGATCACTGTAGATAGATAGATAGATAGATAGATAGATAGATAGATAGATAGATAGATAGTAGATAGATAATAGATAGATAGATAGATAGATAGATAGATAGATAGATAGATAGATAGATGATAGATAGAAGATAGATAGATAGATGATAGACAGACACATAGATAGTAGATAGATAATAGATAGATAGATAGATAGATAGATAGATAGATAGATAGATAGAT